TAGAGGGAAAAGTCACAACAATTTGCAGCTTTATGAAAAGTTAGGGAATGTTTTAAATGATCCCCCAATAAATGTTATGAAGAACGCGAACAAGCATTGTGCTCCTTCAAACTAATCTTGCAACACATAGCATGGGTGTGCAATCTTAGTTTAAAAGGCTCAGCCTAACATTATCAGTTGTTTTTGGTACTGTCAGATAATGAATATTTTAAAAAATCACTTCTTGATTTCTGTAATTTATTATCTTAGTAATATTTGAAAGCTGAGCCAGTTTATTTCTGGCACCATGTTGTCTATTTGAAATTTCAATAAAATGTAATGTTTTCTCTGAAATGCTGCACCCTTGTGGTTCTTGTAAATATTTCATTTCCTTTTTGCAGAAACATTTCTCTCCATAAGTCCCTTGGCTGCAGGTGGCTTATCCAATCTCTCAAAAGGAAAACTGGTTTGATAGCTTTGCAGTTCTAGTTCATATTGGTATTGCTCACATTTGATTTACACATAATCAAATATGATAACTGAAAAAGTAAATGTTGTGTAACGCCTAGTAATCAAGGTCAAGGAGAACTATGGAAAAATGAGAAATATAAATAAGACAAACTAATGATAACAGATGTAGCAATCAGTTTGAGAATGGTCAATGAAGATATTGAATTGGTGGACAACATCTGCCTTCTAGGATCAACAACTAAAAATAAATAAACCAGCATTCAAGATATATGCCACAGACGAATGCTTGGTAAGATAGCAATGAAGGCTTGCAAAAGATATTCAGATACATGTCTGAACTACGAAGATTAGCATCATGCAGGCAATGATTTTCCCTGTGACCCTCTATGAAAGCAAAGTGGATGCTTTGAGATAGAGATGACCAAATTGCCATATATTGGACACGTTATGCAAAGACCCAGCTTTTTTTTTTTGAGAAGCCTATAAATGCTGGGAAAGGTAGAAGGAAAGAAGAGGATGACCACAGCATAACCTAATTATTGTGGCAATGGGTACTCCAATAAAAAAAAAACTGGAGGTCCAGGTTGGAAACAAACCATTCTGAATAATGTTTTATTATGTAGTTGCTAAAAGATAAAATTGATAGTAATAATCATTCAGCCAGTAGCCAAACAAACACAGTACACATAAGATGAGGTAATGTTGTAGAAGAGAGGAGTGATCACAAGCAATTTCTGCATAAAATATAGTGAGGTTTTGTTTATTTACTGAGGAAGAGTATAACTTTTAGTAAGTAATTTTTCTTCTTGTTTTCAGCTTTACAAGGCTGGCAAATTAGTACGTGATCACTGATCATCTTCCAACTGCTTTTGTGCACTTGGGATGTAAATGGAGAAGGCATCCATCTTCAAGCTGATGTCCTCAGGATTAAATGAGAGACCAGTAGGTTAAAGACCGATAGAATAATAGGGTTGGAAGGGACCTTGGAGATCTTTTAGTCCAACCCTCTGCTCAAGCAGGAGACCTTATACCATTTTGGTATATTTTGGTATATATTTCTTAAGGAAGATGGGCCAGTGGAAAAACTGAACAAGTGCTTTTTAAGCACTTGTGTATTTTTTTATAATGTGTGCATTTTTGTATTTTGTTCCATTTGCTTTTTTCTGTTTCTGCTAATATTTTAAACGCAGTAAAATATTTTAAAAAACATCTTCTCATCTAAAGCAAACAAGATTTGAAAAGGCTGCTCTGGGAGCTTTGCAGAAGCCAAAAGAACCATCAAGAACGCTGCCACCAACACTGACAGGGCAAGCCATTAGAATATAAACTGAGAGCAAACCCCATTCTTTACTAGCACTAATTGATGCTACCTAGTTTGGGTAATGAAACTTCTGCAAGAAATAACCAAGCTCAGGGAGCATCAAGAGTCCCCCAAAATTGAAACTGCTTATGCTGGAGTGTTTTTTTGTTCAATAAATCCTGCTTGATTCTTTTTGAAGGGGAACAATGATACTTTAGGGGGAGCATTATGGTGGAAGTTGCAGCTAAAGAATCTGGCAATGTGACAATTATAATTGCAATGGGAGGACATGGTTGCATTCTGCCTTTAGCTTGTCAGTACATCCAAAGCTGTCTTTCTCGTATTTCATTGCAAATGAGTGAGTTTTTAATCCATCATATTTGAAACTTTCAGAGACAGCATCAAAATGAACGTTGTGCCCAAAAAATCTTCAAATCTTCTCTCTTTCCAGTTCATTTGATGGGAAGACAAAATGTCTTCAATATATTTCTTTTAAAGGAGAAAAAAAATATGTTGGCAGTTTTTGCACATCCTTGAGCACTTAATGCTTTGCTAGGTATTATTTAGCTTCCTTATAAACATAGGAAGAGATTTAGATTGGCCAGGATTAGCACTCTTGTGGGTGCCTTTCTGAGAAAATGCTGGTTAGTGCTATATTGAAGGTTGATTCAAATTAAGAAAAAAAACCTAGGTTTTGTGCATTATGGTTTTGAGGCTTCTGTCATTGGGGTGCAAGTGTGAAAGGAGAGGGCTCGTAGTGATGTCTTGATACTTTTTTTTATTTTCACATTTTGGTGATTAGCCATGGATGCTTATATTGTCCAACTGTTTTTTGTTATATTTAATGCACTCCTGTAGGCAGTTCTAAGGAGACAATATGCTGGCATCAAACAAGTCTGAACTGCCCCAATCAGCTTGGAATGGTAAGCACCATTCTATTCCCACCAGGTCACCTACCTTTGCCTGTGACATAATGGATCAAAAAATGTTATATATGCCATTGGCTGAAGAAGAAAGATACTAATACCAGTAGAGCTAAGAAGAATGCCTCTCTCATGGACTGGGGAAGAGTTGAAGGCAATATAATGGTAGCACAAATGTGTTACTAGGGTATTCTTGTAGTTAAGTATAAATTAGGAAAGACCTTATAATAGGGACTTCATAGCTCTCCAAAAGTTCTCACTAAACTAGCTTTAATATATGTAATGTTATTAAATATGTGAGGAATCATATTAATTGAATTTAATCAAATTTAATGTAATGCAATTAATTAAATGCAAATGTAAATATCTGCCCTCAGCAACATTACTCAAAGAATAAATGTTATTTTCATCTCCCCCCACATTAGTGTCCCTTATTTTAGATAATTTAGATTTTGAAATCTTCCTTAATACCTATAATTGGATCTGTTTTTTACTGGTATTCTCATTTTTCTCATTAAGTTAAAAAAATGTTCATTGCTTTGCATTCAATAAATTGGGGAGAAAAATGTCATTTGTATCAGATGTTTTTTGCTTTAATGCTTTACTATTTGCTGGAAAAATAGTTATTTGCCACGTTTCAATCATTCATGTTTATTTATTCCAAAGCTGTAGCTCTTTTATCCTTTAAAAATAATTTTAATGGTTTTAAGATCACATCTTAATATTACTTTGCTTCTAATGACACCTACTGGTCAGAAAAGCTAAAGAGAAATTTCTGCCTCCATAAAATACAGTTCAGTTCATAAATCCTTTCTTTTAAAATGTCAAATTTTAGAGTAATGGTTGGGAGAAGCATGTTAAATTCCTTATATAGTTAATTATTTTATTTTATTTTATGTATATACCTCCCATCTTGCTGTCCAAAGTGCTGCATAAAAGATTGGAATTTCCAAAGCAGATAATATAAAAATTCTGGCATAAGGAATAGGGCTTGGACAAAATGTATATGAAAATATGAATTTATCCATATTAATGAATGTTCATGTTAATTATGCAATACCCTTGTCAATATTTAGCTTTAGTTGATAGTTCTAATAGTTCTACTAAATAATTAGTTCTAATTAACCAGAACAGGTTTAACATCCCTATCCTGAACACCACAGTTATTATTGTTTCCACTGTGTTGATTATATAATACCCTAGTCCAGGGGTAGGCAACCTTGGCTCTTTTATGACTCGTGGCTATGCTGGCTCAGGAATTCTGGGAGTTGAAGTCCACGAGTCATAAAAGAGCCAAGGTTGCCTACCCCTGCCCTAATCAATATTTGGCTTTAGTCTATAGTTCTATTAATTAAACAACACAGGTTTAACATCACTACCCTGAATAGCAGTTATTATTGTTTCCACTGTGTTATTCAACCAGCTAGTCCTGATCTACTCCAAAGACTCCGTATCGAACACTGGCAACATTTAACTGGGGCATTAGGGAGTTTTGCAGCCAAGATGGAAACCATAGTCGTGTGATCAAAGCATCTCCCATTTATATGGCAAATATTTTGAGTTTGGGGACCATATTTGGTGGACAACCTTGTAGGGAAGCTGGACTTGTATTGTAGACATCTTTTTGGAACTTTCCCAATAGCAAGTCATGAAATTGTCATTTCCTGTCCTGCTTGCTTTTTTCTTCCCAAGCTGGGCTAGAAAACACACAAAGATGCACTGCCACACTTACATACACACATTAGGTACCTTGCATTTTCCCCTATTCCCACCTGTTTCTCTATTTTTCTACATCTTCTCCTCAGAAAAGTTAATTGAACCACAGTCAGCATTTTTCCTGATGTAGCTTAATGGAAGGACTTAAGCTCCATGAAGCATATTTTTGAGAGCAGCATATATTTGAGAGCTGTATCTAATCTTTTGAGTTTGTTGATTGGGCTCTCTGACTGCACTCTAATCTGAAAACTGTATAAACATCTGTTTATGTAGTACCAGGAGCAGCTTCAAATCAAGGTTATCTCTATTTATGTATCTCTATGCTAAAGTAAGTTCCATTACATTCAGTGGGAACTTTGAAGGAAAATGTAACAGAATAAAATGCTCACTGTGGTTCAACTAAACTTGTTTTTAATTGTAAAATTACATTTAATCCCATTATAGTTTCTGATTGGATCTGGTTTCATATGTCTTATGCAATTGCTAAACTAAGAGCAATTAGCCTACTTTTCCATATGTGCAAATTTAAAAAATTAACCATATGTAAATTTGAAAACATTAAAATGATTAGCTGTTATTTGAAATAATTGGTAAACACACTGTTAGAAGAAAACTTAATTTATTGTCAATAATTTTTTAAAAAAATATCTAACATAAGAGCATAGACCAATAATATTTATTTACTCCTTACCTTGATTCAAAATTACTTCTGACTCCTTAACAATGTTTTTATGAAATTAAATAGCATGAAAATATTAAGATCCATAGTTTTTTTAAACAATGCCATATCCAAACCATCATTCACAGCCTTATATACAAATACCCACCAATTAGCATACAGATTATATAATTCAACAAACACATTTCAATCCAAACTTCACTTCTGAATGGAGGCAAAAACCCATGTTATCACTGATAAAAAGATTTAAAAAACAAACATGTTGCCATTGTTATATTGTTAGTTGTTTGGATTTTTTAAGTACCGGTATGTTACCATTCTTGCTTCCTGGTCTAATTAGCTGAATAATTTCCTATTGAGTTTCTTTACAGAGCAACAATTCCTAGGATGTTTTGATAAATGCTTAGAATCCCTGAGTGGAAGATTAAAGCATTTAATCCTCTGCCTAGTTAGGTCAATTTCATTCAAAAACCCTAAATTATGTCTATAGAATCCTCATCACTACACTTAGCATGCTACACTGCAATCAAATAATAGCATGAAGTTCATTCAGACCACTAAATGTAATATTGATGTATTCAATTCAGAATAAATGTGATTGATTATATCATATTGCAATCCAATAACTTCTTACATTGTTAATTATATTCTTAATAAAAAGGGAGTATCTTGCCTTTCTAACATAGTCAAACTGCAAGAAAACTATTATTTAAAACAGATGAATCAAATAATTGAACAAAAATATTGTATCAATAAAATAAACTTTATATCCTGAATTGGATATAAGTATTTTAGTTCCTGTTCTATTTCTACATATCATCTCACTACTTAAAGTAAACTTTGCATTTACTGTTATTTTATACAAGCTCATAGGTTTTTATTTGGGATTTATATTGTAGGGGCAAAATTGTCAGGGATCATAATAATGTTCTATTCTATTCTATTCTATTCTATTCTATTCTATTCTATTCTGTATTTCCATCAAAATTCCTACAATTTAAAAATGAAAAACATTACCACACTTCAAATTAAAATATTTTTTTAAAAGAATAAGGGCAATATTTTAAATGGGTTTTGCATCCAAAACAGTGTCAAGCAAATTATCCTTCCTTTAATTTCTTCTTACTTCCCGACCCCTTAAAGGCTGTGGTGGTCTAAAGTTTTTCAGCATGCAATAGGCATGCTCTCCTTCACCAGTGCACAGGAGGTTGCGAAATTTGGCCAGCTGTGGATAAAAAAGGTACAAAATTCAGCAAGAATTAATGCCAAAAATGCACTCCACATGCACATAGTTTTCTTCCTTGTGACACATATTGGTATAAACCTGTGCTTTTTTATGAGTAATTAGTTTCCAATTGAACCCATAAAGACATAACACCTGAACAAAAACAAACAGTTAATGAATGATGACTATTATGAAACAGTGCCTACATAATATTTGTAAACATAAACTGAATGTATTTAATTTGCACTGTAACATTTAAGCACATTAAGTATGTACAAGCCTCAAGCGCACATTTACTATCTCACAATTTTGACAAGCCACTGAAACCGAATACAGGAGCTCTTAATTATACTTACACTTTAATGGTTAATATTGATTGATTAAATATGTATCATCCAATGCCGACTCTTACAAGACACATAGACAGATTTTTCCTATTGACTATCTGAGTGGTTAATATAGTTAGATTTTAATAGGAGACCATGTAGACTTCTGATATCAGAATATAATAAATGGCAAAAGTTCATATGAGAACCTCTTTAAAAAGAGAGATTTCAAATGGGAAAGTATCGTCTCTGGTCAGAGCCAAAACATACCTGTTCAGAGCAAACACTTATAGGCTCCCTAAGGATGATCCAAATGACACTCTCAAGAAGAGGAGGAACTGTGAGAGACCCAAGGTAAGTCCAGTAGTCCAGTGAATGAGGGAGCAGACAGGAAGGATCAAAATTGGTGAACCTGTGCTGGTTACCCTGAAGGAAAGAAGGATGGCAGGAATTAGGAAATGCCCTCTTCATCCTCATTGTGTGGCATATAACTTCCACTGTTAATTCTTCCTTCTATGGCAGGCTTCCTGTTTCCAGAAGATACCTTTCCTTCTCCACTTTTGCCTCCATGAGCATAGAGAGATTTAGATTATTCTATGGTTGTTCATGCTTAGCAGCATCTCATTCTCAGCACTAGTTGCCCTTTCTCAAACTCTGTTTGTCGGACTACCAGATCTGGGCTGCAAATATGTGGAGAATATCTAGAGGACAGAATTAGTATTTTCTGTATCCTCTCTACTTCCATTTAAAGGTTTTGCACATTTTACTGCCAAAATTTGGTAGCTTTTAATGCTTCTAGGGCAGGGGTGTCAAACTGCCGGCCTGTGGGCCTGACGCATCATGTGGAAGCCGCGCCCACCCCATTGCCAGCAATGGCAAAACTGTCCTGATATGTTGCATGACATCACGTGACGTCATGAGTTTGACGTGTCTGTTGTAGCAGTAGTCCTCATTTAGGACTGCCTTGTACAGCAACTGTTTGTCATTAATGACAGTGATGAAAAAGTAGCTTTGTGATCTATCACAGCATTTATGATCTTTGCAGGTCTATGGAAATCTGAAGTAAGATCATCAGCATAGTTGCAGTTTCCGCTTTGCTTAATAATGACGTTGCCAGTCCCAATTGTGGCCGCTAACAAGGACCACCTGTAAATGGCAAGAGACAGTGTGCTTATGAAAGGTTTAAAGCACTCCAATTGTATGGACAACCCTAGAAATTATTACACAATACTCTATTAAAGCAGCTGAGGGGAACCGGAAAGAGAACGTGTAGATTTAGCATTTTGATTCATCATCTATATTTATAGAGATATTATGTGTTCCACACTACCAGCAGAGAATTCATAACTCTGTGAATCAACAAAAAGTATAGACAGGTCTGCCATCTATTATCTGAAATAGTTTTTAGTAGTAAAGCTTCCATTGCAATCCCAATAAGAATAAACGATACAAGGACCTGATCTGCCTTACCTTCACTTTAATGGTATCCAGTTGGTCTGTGATTTTTTTCAGTTGTGAATTGCATTCACCCAACTGTAAATATAAATGTAAGATCATTTCTTTGTCTGAGAGAAAATGAAGTTTTATTGATTTTAAACTTTACTGGTTTTTATCATTAATTTTTATCAGCAAAATGGTTATCTGAAAAGTTTAAAAAGAAATTATATGCAATTAAGAAAATGTATTTTAAAAAATAACCACAGAAAATAAAATAAAATTCCAATGTTCAAAATGTCAAAATACCTAAGGAAAAAAGAGGTTTTATGAAAAGCTATTCTATAATTATGATTCTATTATTAAGTCCAATTATGAATATGCAACCCACTTCACACTATCTAATGTAAACTTTGCTAATTCCAGGAAGATGTACTTTTGAATAGATTTGCATGGATTGTATGGTAGAACTCTGGAGATATTTTTTCTGGAGAATATCTTCTTAAAGGCTCTTTTGGAATAATGAGGTGAATGAGGGTACACATTCCACAAAAGGAAACTGCATCTAGGAAGTTTTTCTTGCTTAAAAGTTTGAAAAATAAATACTTTGCTATCCATATAATATTTCATATATTTGTATGTACTAAAACATCACATACATTCTTCAGGGTATTTGCCGTAAAAAAAATTCAAATATGAATACAAATATATATGTGTGGAGGGGGAGTTTGGCACCCACAAGGTGATCCATTGTGTCATCTGAATCTATTCCAAATTGTATTGTCAAATTTTAATTTCTCAACATTTGGAGACAGAAAGTACTAAAAACAGTAGAGTAAATGTAAAATAGGTTTAAATAGGATTGTTTTTAAACAGCAGAAAATTCCATTTTCCCCAAATAAAACCAGGAAAAAAAATCACCCATCTACTTGGGATCCTGGAGGGTCTATAATTGATTCCAGCACCCAAATTGGTGAAAGGTACAAATGATAAGCCCAACCACTATGATTCTCATCCCCCTAGAAGCCATTATGCCTAGTTTTGAACCACTAAAATGTTCCTCGCACTGACAGGCAAAATTATGTGCTAAACAATAGTCTGATCTTTTGCTTCCTACATTTGAAATGAAAAAATATAATTTTATTTCCTTACTTTTAAGAAAACAGCCATGACTGCTAATCCATCAGGTTTCTGAGCAGCTTCAACAAAGCTGGGGTATTTACCTGCATTCCAGTGCACCACATGAAGCTGAAAAGCAAGAAAATAAGTACAATTAATCATCACTTTATGATGAATCTGTAACACATGATGAAGTATTGGGAGCTAAGTCATTATTTTTTTTTACAAGTAGCCAAAAGCCATCTTGATGCATGTAGTCCTTTGGAAGCTCCACACACTTTGGTCCAAAGCTCTGAAGATCCATTCTAGTCAGTCCTAGTTTGGGGCATGTTTATAAAAATAATAAAAGAGTCTGTGACAAATCCTCATGCCAGTCCCTCCCACCAGCTGTGTTCCCACCCTCATTTTTCTTTCACAAATTCTCAGAGTCACACACACTGGATCAAGGGCTTTAACATCCTTGCAGGAAAGCTGCTTTGTAAGTGCAAAGTATTATTATGAATAAAATCTAAAAGTTCTAATGGCTCAGTTCGCTAAATCTGGATTTTTAAGGTGTCAACACACACGCACTTTAAAAAGCCGGACAATATATCTCCTGAAATATTGTGAACATTTTACAAAAAGGAAACCAATGCTTTCAACAGGAATGGCTTTTATTGTAGATTAATGAAAAATAACAAAGAAGAAAAGACACGAGAAACACTGTGGGGGAGGCCCATCCCAATGGCCCGTGACTTCTTTTTAAAGGATGTATGTACTGTATCTTGTCTTACCACCGCTCTTTCACCACAGCTTGTTGGAGAAATCTTTTAAGGCCTGTTTCTTTTATGCATCATCCTCAGCAGAACTGTATCGCAGCCTGTTGGAAACACCTGGGTCCAGGAGATAGGCTGCTTCAGATTAATAGGACTTTGGATCCACAGAGATCATCTGCCAGAGGAACAGTGTTGACTTCTGTCTGCAGAGCAGCTCTTTCTTCTTGCATGTGCCAATTTGGCAGAGGTGCATTCTTGAGCCAAAGAGCCTTTTCTTCCCAGGGCTCAACATGGTACATCTGTTCACTGACCTTTTGGCCATATCTCCACCCGTATGATCAGCCTGACACTCTCTCAAATCTAGGCTCTTTCCCCCCCCCCCCCAAAATCAGTAGGGTTTCTAGTGGGTTCTTGATAATCGGCAGAGGGAAAACTTTTTAAACTGACTAAACATTCCTAAATATTTTCTCCTTCCATTTGGTTTCTTAGATGGAACTTATTTCTTTCCAGCTATATATCTGTTTTGGAACATACTGTTTTCTAAGCACCTCTTATTAATTCGTTATATTCCATCTCACCTGGTTCCTGTGGAAAACATAAGTCTTTAAACACTGCAAATGTCATTTCCCCCAACTGATTTTCCCCCATTAATTTTAGGCATTTTTCTATCTTCCTTTATTTGATCAAGGACATTATTTCTGTGAATCTTCAGTTCTTTCATTACAGTACTGACAAACATGTGCTGCTATTTCAAACTACTATTCCATTTCAGAAATATTTAAAAAAAACAGAAAAGTTTCTTGCTTAATGTTAGTTAACTAGAAGCAATTTATACTTTTTGAGGACTTCATGTTGAGAAAAGCAATCATTGGAAATGTTAACGTATTAGTAATGTCTCTTCCATTTAGCATTTTTGCAATTTCATTTCAGCATAGAAAACACATTAAAATAAATTGACAGAGATTGTAACTAGACTATACTTTTTATCTGAGAGAATTGTTACACTATTATAAAAACAGAACATTTACAGTGTTTGAATTTGGTTCCACACAGATGTACCTCACTACAGCTCCACCCAGCATGGTCTCAAACCCATCCAGCAGACCAATAAATCAGCCAAGAGGGAAATAGTGTTGTTTCCCTTGGTTTTTGAAAACATCAACAGAAAGCACTTTAGTCTGTTTTACTAAGAGTTTTATTCTCTCTGACGCAAATACTGTGAAAAATATAAAAGGGAAGTCTTAGTATTTACAGGTTAGGCATTCCCAGATGCTTAATTGACCCTCATTTTCTTCCAGCAAGTTTATGCTGCTTATGCTGCTTAGTAAAATGTAATGCCAATTTGAGATCAGTACATACTTCCCATGTGCTGAGAAGTGAAGTGAAAAGGAGGAAAACAGAAAATTATTAAGCCTAATGGAAATCTTGGAATTTAAATGCAAAAAACTGAGTCAAGCCCTATTATTTCAGAGCTTCTTCTCATCTTTAGAATGCTAGTTATAGTTTCAGTGGACCAGAAAGTTTTACAAGTTTAATTCTCAAAGAAAAAAATGATATGCAATATAGTTTTGCTTTATTTATTCTGCTGTTCACCAATATGAACCCAAAGAGCTGATTAATTCCAGGGCCTCCGTGTTTTGCACAGCAGTTTTACCATGTCACTTGACAGTGAACACTGGAATATTTTAAAGGAAGATGTGCATCCAAAGCAGTTGTGTGTGAGATGGTCAGAATACTGAATAACTCCCCATGTTTGTCCACCTGTGTTCGGCAAAAGGTACGTTCCTTTAAAAATTTCAGTGTTCACAGACATGTGGCAAGCAGAGAAAATAAATTCACAATGGGCTACAGAGGCACTAGTAGCATAATAGCTAAAAACATACTGTGCAATAGACATAAATGAAAGACAATATGGAAATGTTGCTGAGATCACACCAAAACCACTTTCCATAGCAACCAGAAACAATCAAAAGCACAGGTTTTAATGAAAAAAACAACAACAACACTGATGTGCAATTCTAAGCAGATGTGATTGGGAGTAATTCCCATGGAAATCCATGGAATTTACTACCAAGGATATGATCAATATACAAGATACAGTGAAAATTTCCCAGCCAGGCTAGTTTTAAATTCCAAAAATTACATATTAGGAACTAAAAATTTCCCAACTAAATAATAAAATTCATCATACAGTATTACATTTTCCTGCCTGAACTTGACCAGCTACATTTTTTGTTGGCCAGTATCACTAAACACATGCAACTGGTCCTATAATAAAATTTACCATTGAAAATTAATAATAATTTTACTGCTGAAATCACACCAGTGCTTTATGCAATAGTCATTTCAGAAAGGACAGCTTTAATTATGCTGCAAAAGTAAATCCTGTTGCTTCAGAACAGCTCAGAGGAGTACTTTACCTCTGCTGGGAATTTTGCTCCATCCACAGCATGTTCAGAACCAATGTCATCACTGGCTCCCCAGTGGAAGTGGATTTGTCGCAGCCTATAATTTCCAGTGAGTGGACCCCCACTTAGCACTGTAAAAAATATTAATAATTCTTATTGTGAAACAGAGAGTGGGAAACTTTTAGCGCTTAAGCGTATTTTCAGACTACTTGAAAGCTAACACAAAACTGGTGTAGAAAACACTGACTGGATCTCTGTGTTAAATAACTGCTGGAGGTTCTAGCTTAGCATTGGAGGGCTGCATGTTTTTTTTTTATTCTAAATAACTGTCCTGAAAATTGCTATTCACTCTACAGAGGAAAAAAAAAGGCAAGCAAATAACTCTATGATTACAAAGGAAATCTGAACTGTTCCCATGAAATGGGAGCAACATAAAACTAACTATGCCGAAGATGAGAGAAAGCAGTGTTTGAGAAAGGAATTTAGCCCACTTTGAATAGGGCTTTTAGGAAGGTATCCAACTTTCTGCACCCAATCAGATAAAATCATATTCAAGAAACATGTGGACAGCTCATTTGAATGCAAACATATTTAGACAGTTACAACTAACTGAAACTCACTCAAGTGAAAAGGTAAAAGAATCTTCTCTGGAGAATAGCTGCCTTATAATTTAGATACAATTAGTTATAGAGCATTAAATCAGACATAGATTTGCTAGAAAACAAACCTGATTTATTCTCAGTGTCATCAAATTCCACACTGGTGGAGTGTCCATTATTGAGTATTACTTTAGCAGAGGAAGGATCATAGCTGGGGCTGAGAGGAAGCAGGTTGGAGTCATATTTAGTCTCTTTAGTTTGAATATCAATGGGAGATTGCCGGTTTCCATCAGCAATGGGGAAAATTTCCTTCCAGTGAGTAGGTCCTAGAATACATTACAGTGAAAACATTGTTTACAGAATATCATTTGGTACAGTCAGACAAACAAAGAATTTGTCATATAGGAAAATGCACAAGAACCTACCTGGATTTTCTTATTTTTCTTTTTTAAAAAAAAAATTATTAAAAATGGTTGGATTTAAAGGGATGGAATATATACCACCCCACATCTTTGGTGGGCTGAAAGACAGCCCTCTACATAAATATCTTAATTCTAATGAATTGAATACCCAAGGATGCAGGTTAGAACACTAGAGTTGTTCATTTTCTGCCTACTTCCAGGCATTCTGGTCATTAGGAATGCAGCAAACACCTGAAATTAACACACATGCAATAGATTCAGAGAACATTTATCCATCAGATGATTTAATCTGTCATTCACACAACTATAATGTTTTACTTTGGTTCAATAACATAGAAAGTGCTTTATTCAGAGACATAGATTAATTTTGACTCATCAAAGTTTTAGATAAGGTTGAAGAAGATATTCTGCCTAATGAATTCAGGAAACTAAGCATGGCTTAGGAAGCCCATAAACTGATCTCCAAACTTGACATACGGTAGTATGGTCACTTTGAAAAGAAAATACTGCACTGTCATGGAAGACGGTTCAGAACTGATTTATATATGCAATACAGCAAGATAGAATTGTGATGGTGTACTACACGATATCACATAGAACTAAATAGGGAAATGCTAGCAACAGTTTTAAAAATTGCGCTCTCATTGGTACATACAGTTTATATACATTTATATACATTTTTTCAATGTAGAAGGTGATTTCCTAACTTTGTCATCAGAACTTGTATAGTCTGCATTTCCCCCCTAAAATATCTGAGTCATTTATTTCAAAACAAGTCTCAATCTACCAGTCATTATCATATGTGCAATACCAGGAGTTAAATTTTAGAAGTTCCAAATTTCACAAATATCAATCTCGGGCAGAATAGAAAATAGAACCAAAATACTCAGCATATTAACTGCATATAAGGTACTTGTAATCCTAGTTTAATTGTCCCAGCTTTCTTCAGTAGAAATGAAAGAATTATAAGGTAGTAAAAGTGTCAGGCATTTTGATATTATAAAAAAAATTATAAAACAGTAGTTGTACAATCCTTGGGAAAAGTGATATCTGTTAGTTACAGTATATCATAGATGCAAACTACTGGTCAGCTATTGATCCTAATAACATTTTGAGTAACCGGCATTTAGATCAGCTTTACACACTAGCCATAATATAAAATGTTATTTAAAAATATACCAAGTGAGTGGCAGCCTTGCTTACTCTGAAGTAGCCCACCCAGGCTGACTGCCATTAATGGGAATTCTAGGAAGTGTAATCGCAACATAAATGAAGAGCAATAGGTTGTGGAATAGCAGTTGTTATTCTTTTTCATTCAGTGAAGAATTCTGCATTGGGAAAGCAATAACAGAAATTGTTCTGTTATTTCTGTTGTCAGAAACGCTTCTAGCCAAATTTGGAATTTGGTTTAAGTTTAGATTTCCTTCAGCAGGAATGCAAAATCAGGTTGCCATTATGCTATTGGAGGTGGTACCAAAATTTTAGGACCTTTCTCTTTTTTTCATTATTAAGAGATAAAATGAATGATTACGGAATGGATTTCCGTACTTAAAAATCCTAACACCGCCCTCCCCAAATAGAGTCTAGTCCTGCCTACTTTGGAGTTAAGTTGTACAGAGTGTAATCCAACTCTCAAACCAAGAAAAAAATATACACTCATCCTACATATTTTCTCCATTCCCTTGAAATAGCTTGTAACATTTTCTAGAAATGTCTGAAAATCAGTTTTTAATTAACCAATTATCTTAAGTCTTCAAAGCAATATTCCTACCTAAGCACAAGGTTCCTTCATAAAATTTTAATTACAAGGGATCCTTATTTTAAATACACAGCTTGCTTATCTTTGAAATTTCAAAAAAAATAATAATATGTAAGGAGTATAAGGGGCTAAGCTGACTTGATTCTACCCAGTCTATAATATGATGAATACACTGGTTAATCTTAAGCATTAGAGTCAAATGAACTTATGTAATTCTATGATTTTATGGTTTATTTCTGGGTTTTATTGTTGTCGTGAGCCACCTAGAGTTGTGTTTTTAAATGGGTGGGAATATTTTTTAAATAAATATTATACTTGATTTATCAAGTATTGATAGGGAAGAAATTATGAAATCCTCAAACCTATATTTTGTATTTTCTAACACAGAAAACCCAATTCATGTTTAGCATTTTATATTACTCTGGTCAGAATCCATCATTCAAAATTCTTCATCAATAGCTTAGCAAGATAGATGAGATGGACAGATTATTGGCTTGCCTAAAGTCCTTTAGTCTAATAAAATAATATCTCAACCTTCTGTGCTTCTAATTCAGGAGAAAAAAAATACAGCATCACGTTCCTTATCATCTCTTGGACACACTGTCTGTTTTACGTCAACCATATTTCTGTCCCACCAAGATTATCTTTTGCACTGTTTGTACTTCTAAAATGAGTCAGCTATATATCATTTTTCATTCCTCAAAGATCATTTATATCATTTAATATTTATCATTCAGTATCAAAAAAGACAAAAGTTTACTGAGCTGATTGCTTAAGCAATTTTATCCTTGCATAGATATATCAAATAAGGAATAAATAACTTCTGCTCTCCAAATGCTTTAAATTTACTAAGTTTTAAATGCCAACATGCTGATTTAGAGGGCAATCCTATGCAGATTTTATTCAAGAGGAATTTCCATTATGTTTACTAAAAGTGATAATAGGATAATAGCCTTTAGTAATTGTGGAATAGTTTACCACAAACTTTTTAATTCAGTGGAAGCATAAAGTTATTAATCTAACCCATTATTCAGGGTAATTACAGTGAGAATCTAATAATAACTTATTCACAGGAATAAATGTGAATGGAAAAATGTATACACGTGATTATTAGTATGAGCTAATAATATAAATCTTCCTTCCAATGAGTAGACACCACCTAAAAATGCTTTGTGTGTTTGTATGATTACAACAACACAACTGGAGTCACTGATAATAAAAGGATAAAGTTTTACAACGCTTTGATGTTATTAGGTTCTCTAACCTAGGAACTCCACTGTATTAAAAGTGGAGCCCCCACTGATAGTGGAAACAAATTAAGCTTGACATGTTAACTGTTGGATAATCTTGATATGTATTTAGTCCACCAAAGCAATATCTCTTAGATGTAACACCCAGCCTTCTAATAACTTATCTAAGTTCTTCCTTATGAAGCAGGACACAAAGTTCTGGAGGATATCTTTAATGCATTGCTTCCTAAACAGACGTCATCCACCCTGCTGTAGCACTGAGATTAGACAACAGCATCCCAAACTAAAGTCTTTTATTACCTGTATTACTGTGATAACTACACATCCAATAAGACATGGTACATTTTAAAATGTCTTCCTAAATCTGTTACTGAATCCTGTCTATCACAGACAGTAAAGGAGTATACAAAATCAGAGTTGTTCTAAACTCATCAACCAAACACCCAGAAACTTAGAACCCTTCAAAAAATATATTTGTATTGGAAAAAATCAAAGGGGTCTTTACAGAAGAAGCCTTTGAGGATGGTGACAATGTATTAATATCTGAATAATATTTAATAAATGTTTCATGAATCTTTCATTTATTCCTTCCACGTTCAAAATCACTATCAGGTTTCAAGCTGCACCATGTTTTTATTTGCAAAAATTAACTAAAAGAAGTAGAAGTAACTAAAAATCAGTATTGTCGATAATATGCCTTTCTCTTTTGAATTCCTAATGAACAGAATTTATGTGTGCCATTTAAGAATCGGAATTGAAGTAAAATTAATTTTAAGTATCTCTGTGAACTCAGTTTAATAGTTTCCCTGGCCTGATATTAATTTTAATGTAATAGGTACAGAAGTGCAGAGATAGAATAGATACATAGAATGTGCAAACCATGAACCTTCAAATTTAATCCGAAGATCATTATTACAAGTCTGTATTGAAAAATATTAATTGTGATTCTTAACATTACATATAGCAAAAAAGAATCAAAATATGGGAGAACAGTAAACTGCCTTATCTCACTTAGCATATCTTAAATGCTCCAACACCACTCATGCAGACAAAATGAAGCGCTTTCCTTCTCTTATTAGGAACAATGGCGTAAAAATCAAGATTTTTTTATCCTTCTATAATATTAGAGCAATTTAAGATAACTTGTGATTTATTCTCTCCACAGATCCTTGGTGAGTGTTCCTTTTCCCTCCAAAATTATGGCTAAATAGAAAAGAATTAGATAATTGAGTATGAAAAATAATTTGTTATGCAATATCCTTTTAAATTCCATTTTTACATTTTGTCCTAACTTTGCAGCTTCAAATTTATGATCAAGAGATTTCATTTAATCTCTAAATATATCCAGACTCAGAGAAAATGTACTCTAACTCACAAAAAATAACGCACCTATATCTCTACAAAACTTTTAGGCATTTGGCTTCCAAAGGAATATAGCAGAGGGAGGGAGAGAAAGAGAGAAAGAGAGAAAGAAAGAAAAAGAAAGAAAGAAGAGAGAGAGAAAGCAAGAAAAAAGAAAAAGAAAGAAAGAAAGAAAGAAAGAAAGAAAGAAAGAAAGAAAGAAAGAAAGAAAGAAAGAAAGAAAGAAAGAAAGAAAGAAAGAAAGAAAGAAAGAAAAAGATCTAAGCGAAGATGTTCCTTCCGCGTTTGTAATAAATTCCATGGGTACTTTTTTGGAAGTAAATCCCGTCACATTGGAAAGCAGGCTTGTTCCCAAGAAAACACGTGAAATGTAAGAGAGAGATCGCACGTCTAGTGGAAGTGGCTTGAAGACGCAACGGCCTAGGAAGGAAGCCCTTCCACCCGCTCCCATCCCAACTGAAGGAAAGAACCGGGCGTGTGATGAGGATGGTCGTGGTGGTGGTCGTGGCGGGAGCGGAGCCTCTCCTGGCCCTCGGGCAGCGTCCCCCGACAGCCCGCCCCCTGTACCTATTCCCCCAGAGAGCCACCAGCTCTCCTCCTCACCGTTGTCTTCCTCGTATCCCCAGTGTAACATGACTTTAGTCTGCTAACGGGATGGAAGCGATGCAGAGAGGCGAATGTCGTTTCGGTGTCAAAAGGGGTGCAGACCAGCGGCGGCGGCGGCGGCGGCAGGAGGAGGAGGAGGTGGCAGGCGGAGGCAGTGAGAAGCTCGCACCCAGCAGAGTCCCGCGACGCCCTTTTATCTCCCCGCGTGCCAGCCGCCGCTGCGTCGCCGCCTTTGGCCTCCAGATGGGCCGGTCAGCAAGCAGCCCCCATTCGGGCAATGTCACTTGGGAAGGAGTTACGCGACACGGGAAAGGAAGGCAGCCCAGGTTACACGGCTTGCGTGGGTGCTGCGTTCGGGGGCCCAGCTCTTCAGACGCGCTCTTTTCCAAAAGCGAGAGTGGGGAGGGATTCCTTTGCATAGCCTTTTTTTTAAAAAACAAAAAATATTTATTTATCAAATTTAGATACCACTCACCGAGTGAGTGAGCTTTTTGCATTGCTGTATCTAAAATAAGTGCGTGTTAAGGAAAGACAATGTGCAGTGCAACCTCCAGAATCAGACAGGTTTGTGCAGTGCCTTTTTTTAGGTGTGAAAGCACCTAAAACTTTTCTGCAAAATCCCAAGAAAAAAATACAGGTCGTCCTTGACTTACAACAGTTTATTTAGTTACCGTTTGAAGTTAAATGGCACTTAATGACCAATTTTTATGACCAATTTTTCACACTTACGACCATTGCAGCATTCCCATGGTCACGTGATTTACATTGGATGCTTGACAACTGGTTCATATTTATGACAGCTGCAGTGTCCCCGGTCATGTGATCATCTGTTGCAACCTTCTGACAAGCAAAGTCAATTGGGAAGCCAGATTCACTTAACAACCATGTTACTAATTTAACAACTGCAGTGATTCATTTAACAAAGTGGCAAGTAAAGTCATAAAATGGAGCAAAACTCACTTAACAAATTTCTCACTTAGCAACATAAATTCTGGGCTCAATTGTTGTCGTAAATTGAAGACCACCTGTACTTACAGACCTGATTTCTGCACATTGGGCCTCTCCATCTTTGTTAGACTACAACTTCCATCACCTTGGCCAAATAGGAATAACAGAGATTTCTTAACAAAGGAAGACCCCAAGGTTGGAGAAGGCAAGGCTGATACAGACCAAAGTATGTCACTGAAGGGGAAGCAGGAATTTGGACATACTAAAGGCTACCGCTGGACAGAGTTTTCTCTTCTTTCCTCATATGTCACTGAATTGTCTACATTTCATCTCTATAGTGGGCAAGCGCTCCCAAATTCCCAACCAACGCATAATTGTATTGGTGTCCCATGACTGGCTTTATAGCTAGGAACAAATTAAGCCTTATTTTAAAAGGATTTTTATAGTAGATTTATTTTTGCCAGAGTTTATGGCAGGGATCTTCAAACTTGGCCCTTTTATGACTTGTGGATTTCAACTCTCAGAATTCCTCAGCCAGGCACGCTGGCTGAGGAATTCTGGGAGTTGAAGTCCATAAGTCATAAAAGGGCCAAGTTTGAAGACCCCTGGTTTATGGTATATTTTTAACTTGCAGTTGAGATTTTTTTTTCTGCTTCTAGAAATCAGTTTTTACACAAAAATTGGATGTTGATAATATTTATTTCATCTCCTTTACAATAGGTGCATCATTATCCCTATTGATCCTTTCAGATTAGAAAATGAGAACATTGATTAGATTATATGTCTGCTGTAGCTTGTGGACAATGTTTGCAGATAATTTGTTAGGCTAAGTAATATGCATGTGCATATATAATATACTGCACAACATTGCAGATAGTTTTATATTTACCTGTCTAGATTAAGAAAGGTACATTATCATGCATACATTTTATATATTGTTCTACATGAAGGTTTGGCACCATTTCTGTTTGGAAATATGGTTATGTATGAGCTGCAATTATTTTCCAGGTTGAATGAGATTTACAAAGATCATCCAGTCCACTTTTTAGCCCCTATTCTAAATGGGCTTTCCCCCCCCTGCAATCTACCTAGTTCAGACAAAACTGTTATGCAGCAGGTGCTGAGCAGCTCTTGCAGATCGAACAGCTTGCATTGTGTATGCATGAAACGAACACAGTCAACCATAGGTTTATTGCTGGCTGTTGTTTTATCTACTCCACAGTTCCAAGACAGCTAGAGAGATATGATTGTTTAGCATACAGATAGAAAAGCATAAAAGGGACATACAAGAAAGATAATGTACAAAATATTGGCCAGAGAGATAAGACTGACTAGTCTGCTCCCTTGTTTTAATATTCCAACTGGCACTAGAATAGAAAACGGGGGTTGACCAAACAATCTTGAAATTACAGATTGCTTATTTCAGAGTTAAATCTTAATACAGTTTCTTTGATTTTGGCATTGTGAAATACATGATTTCACTTGTTATGATTTTATACTTTGTACTACCGTTATCAGACCACAGTGACTTGCTCAACATGTCTTTAAAACCATCACTTAGCATGTGTAGTATATGAACCTTACCAGTACAGGTAGTCCTTATGACCATAATTGAGCCCAACATTTCTGTTGTTAAGTGAGACATTTGTTAAGTTAGTTTTGCCCCATTTTACGACCTTAACTGAATCACTGCAGTTGATTAGTCACCTGGTTGTTAAGTGAATCTGACTTCCCCATTGACTTTGCTTGTCAGAAGGTCACCAAAGGTGATCACATGACCTTGGGACACAGCAATGGTCATAAATATGAACCAGTTGTCAAGCATCTGAATTTTGGTCACATGATCATGGGGATGCTGCAAAGGTCGTAACTGAAAAATGGTCATAAGTCACTTTTTTCAGTGTCGTAACTTTTAACAGTCACTAAACGAACTGTTGTAAGTCGAGAACTACCTGTATTGTGCAACATTATTTAATATATGCACGTCTTCTTAAAGAAACACCTAAAACACTCTGGCCTTCTGATATTTCTCTGATATTTTAAAATTAGGAGGAGTCTGATAACACCGTTTCATATTAACAAATTGTATGAGAAGGGATAAGTTTTTTATGAGCCACAGGTATTTCATTCGATGCAATGTGGTTACTAGACTGATATGGTATAGATATAAATTGGGATAAGGTGGGGGGGCAGGAGGAGGCAGAAGGTAGAGTGGTTATGCAGGCACAGGTTATACATAAAACAAATGATAAGTACCTTATTAATTGTAATATGTTAAAAATGCATTATGTATGTTGAGATCTTAAGAGACACTCTAAATTTTTTTTTGTTTGTTTAGGCAACCCAGCATAGCTTTATTTCAAATGCTTTGGCATATATAAAGGTCTTTAACCAACTGTCTTATTGACAGCTTGCAGTCTGTTGAGTGAAATAAATTCTTAAAAGCTAGGAATGCATTTCTTTTATATCATAATTTGCTTGATGGAATCCAAGGGCCACTAACTTTAGGATTCTGCTTAGTAATAAAAAAAACAACCCTGGGAGATCTTCATGCTTCACTTCCAGAGGGACTTTCCTAAATGAAGCTCTGCTTGATGCTAAAATCAGGAAGGGGAAAGTAGTTTTGGCTGTAGTGATTCTAGGCTTGTGATGAATTGCTGTGTGATCCCTTAAGTCTTTGATCTTGCACTCCGTTCCTCTCCTGCTCTAGTGAGAGTTGTAGGAGAAATATGTCTGAAAGCTGTGCTTGTTTTCAGCTTCTCCTTTTCCTCTATTATCACAAGGGGTCCCACTGTCACACTGGAGATCTTGAAAAGATGACAGTTTCTTTGAGAGGTAAGAGAGTAAGGAAGATAACTATGCTGGCCCAAGTATTTGGTGAGCAGACAAGAAAGCATTCAGGGTAGCTAGGAGATGTTTCATCCAAGTCAAGAATTAAGACCTTTGTTTTTCTATCTCAGTACTCTTGAATTCTTCCACAACAGAGTCCTAAATTCTGCTTCTGTGCCTGAAATGTTTTGAAGTACGTGAGATTTTACCACATTACAATTTTTAGTTAGGTCACTTGTAACCTGTTGCACATGTACTGTAACCTGCATCTGCATATTCTGTCCCCCTCCACACACACTTTCCTCCTCTACCTTATCCTGATTTTAATGCAACATCAATAAGCCATTCTGTGCATCTGACAAAGTGAGCTGTCATTCACAAAAGCTTTGCTTTTTAATTCCATTAAATTATACAGCTCTGAAAAGTCATTACCAAACTTTAGTTTTTTGGCTAATATAGACTAATGCAACTGTCCTCTTACAATGTTCATGGATTTTAGATTCTCTATCAAAAGCTTTGCTTAAGTGGTTATGTAAATTAAGGCTACCTTTATTATTAAATAGAGATGTCAAATGCCATAAATAAACTCATATGTGTATTTTAACAAGAGAAAGATTAGAAAGCAAGTTTGATTTAGGGGTTAAGACATTAGACTAGAAACCAGGAGAATTTGAGTCACTCTCTCAACCCAGTCCACCTTACAGGTTTGCTGTTCTTGGGAAAAATGGGAGGAGGAAGGTACATTTATTTATAAAAATAATAAATGCAGGATAAAAATAAATTAATTAAAAATTAAATAAAAAGAGAATTAGTTGGGGCAGTGATTAAGCGACCAGACTAGAAACTAGGAAGTAGTGAGTTCTAGTCCACATTAGACATGAAGCCAGCTGGGTGACCTTGGGCTAGTCATTATTCTCTAAATATAACACAATGGCAAGCCACTTCTGAAATCTCATCAAGAAAACGGACTAGTCCAGGAAGATGCCACCTGACTCAGAGGCGCACACACAGTTTAATAAAGAATTCAGGTAATCTATGACATATATCAGTATAATGGGAGGCAAGAGTAAGAGCAATATCATACATCTAAAAATCCCACATGTTAAATTCTAAATTTAAAAGGACAATCTGCATCTTATTCTGGCTAGAAAATAAACTAAATTCAAAGTCGCATTGAGGTATTTGTTCATAGGACCGAGATGACAAAGCAGACTGAGGACAGAGGACACATCACAGCTTTTTGGATACTTTTAAAAAATACATTTCCAACATTTCTAAATCTAATAGAATTTAGCATGATAAGGAAAGTTTTGATTGATTTAAATGTGACATTCCTTGTCTGCAGTCTAAATTAATATTCTTTTATCAGCTGATTCCACAGCACACCTTGACTCAGACTATTATAACTAAATTGCATTTCCATTTATGGCAGAATGCAATGGAATACCAGTCCTTTTCCCACTTGGAAGGTAGCAGTGGAGAAAACTGAATGTCTTACTGCCCTATTTGTGGGGTGATAGCTGGTTTCTACATGCAAAACAATGAGGGACAACATGAAAGTTGGTCTGATCTAACAAGCCTTAAGAATGGTAACTTATGTATGTATCGCCATCTTCAGTTTGCTGTTAATATTGCAATTAGTGCCAACATTGATGGTGTTACCTAGTTTGGGTAATGAAACGTCTGCAAGAAGACAACCAAGCTCAGCGAGCACCAAAAACCCCTCATTTCAATCCTGAGCTACAAATATTCTCCTTTATTGATCTTGCAATCTCAACATAGATTTTTAAACCCATCTTATTCAAAACAAGTACTGTACTGAGATTACCAAAGTATTACTGCATATAGTCCTTATTCAATTTGCTGCTGTTTATCAAGGATATCTTTTAACAAGAACAGCTTGTCAATTCTATATTAAAGTAGCATGATTGATATTCATACAACAGATATAATTTCAATTGCAATGCTATATCATCATCAAAAAGTTAGTAATAATGTGAGCTTTACAGGAAGATTTTATCTCATTTTTGTAAGTCAATACTAGAGTATTGTTAGTCACAAATAAGATTGGTGACCTATTCCACAGTAATTAACCATATGCCCACAGAGATAGAAAGGTCATAAAGTTGATAACTACTAACATGTTGTACATGTTCTATGAATTTGCAATAGTTGAGGAAAGTCTGGAAACTCCTCATATCCCTTCAAAGGTCACAGATCCTCATGGTAATTACAGCAGATGAAAATATCCAGCTTTCTGGCTTAGAAGGAAAGTGTGCACAACAGATGGTGATAACCTCAGAAGCCAGAGGAGATAAAATGGCTCACCAGGCTGTTTAGACATCCAACAACAGTGTACTGTTTGGCCACACTTTTCAACTCGATTCAATTTATTATCTTCAATTTATATAGCAGCTCATCTCTCATATATGACTCTTAGTTCTCAGCTACTTCGTGCTGGACTGGAGATGTTGCCAGTCAGATGAAGATTCAATAGTGATGTGATGGAAGCAGAGCTGGTGTTAACTTTCAGCCAGTTGGCAACAACAGCAGCAAATTTGGCTGCAAGTGATCATCTAGCAACAGCATCCTCTGCTTGGTGGTCACAGTGACAGTAATTCCAGATGCCTCATTTCAGGATTCCAGGTTTCTCTGGCACAGGAATGCTGGTAGCGACTGACAGTGGGAGCAGGATTGGGCCAATTATTGTGCTGGTAAGTCAGCATGAATTCTGTGGTTGTTATGGAGCTTCCATACTCTGGACGGCTATCATCTTCTCTCCGACATAATAAAGCAGGATTATAATTTTTTAAAAAAGAGTGTATGCCATCTGTTCCAGCTGTCTCTACAGGTAGTCCTCACCTTACACCTACAATTGAGCTCAAATATATGTTGCCGAGAAATTTATTAAGTGAATTTTTCGCCATTTTCCGAATGTAAATCACGTGACCATGGGGATGCTGCAATGGTCATAAATGTGAAAAATGGTCTCAAGTCACTTTTTTCAGTGCGGTTGTAACTTCGAACGGTCACTAAGTGAACTGTTGTAAGTCGAGGTCTACTTGTACCAGCTGGACTTATTCAAAACGAAGCGCCTGCGAGCCCAAATGGATAGGCTGGCAGTTGCTCTAGTACAGGGGTAGGCAACCTCGGCTCTTTTATGACTCATGGACTTCAACTCCCAGAATTCCCGAGTCAGCTTATGCTGACTCAGGAATTCTGGGAGTTGAAGTCCATGAGTCATAAAAGAGCCGAGGTTGCCTACCCCTGCTCTAGTAACACCCACTCTCGCAGTCGGAGCCGAAGACTACGTCCCCCAGTCCCGTCGAAGGGCGACAAGGCCGCCCTGAAGCGCTTCAAACCCGGGCTGGAGGTGGACGGGGGCGAGAGAAAACAATCCCGTCGCGCACCAATGACGGACCGCTTGCGCAGCAGCTCTTGGCCGAGTCCGAAGAGGAGGAGCTTCGCATCCACGTGGACCGGCTTCCGGATGGCGTCTTGGGGGTTGCGCACGCCGTTGCGAAAAAGAGCTAAAGTCTAGGAGGGACCCGATTTGGACATTGTCCCCGCTTGGGTTTTTTTTTGAAGCGCTCGCCTGCAGCTCCCCTTCTCCCCAGACAGAATAAAAAGTAAGTTTGCTAGATCGTAAATTCCGTTTTATGGCAACGGTGGGCATCGGGGCGGGCTCAACTCTTAGCAAATGTGCCTTCCAACCCTTGGGGAATCTGTATATTGAATGTTATGTCCTGTTTGTCTCTCATTTCACCCGGGCCCTTAATTCACTCCTTACTTGTGAGTTGCCCCAGCGCTGTTACTAAAGCCAGTCAGCAGGAAGAGTGAGAGTTACCTTTTCCAGTCACCTCTGTATTATCTAGAAAGTTGATAAGTTTCTAGGTTAACTTTGCCATCTCTTGCCAGCAAAGTTGAGCAGCTTTGCAGAAATGAGATTACTGTATTCTGTATATTCCCATGTCTATATTATTTTTAAACATTTGTGGCCTTCTCACAGCCACAGAAGGGATAAACAAGGAGCAAAGAAGGGTAGGGATGAGTAAGCCCTAACCCAGGGGTAGGCAACCTTGGCTCTTTTATGACTCGTGGACTTCAACTCCCAGAATTCCTGAGCCAGCATAGCTGGCTCAGGAATTCTGGGAGTTGAAGTCCACGAGTCATAAAAGAGCCAAGGTTGCCTACCCCTGCCCTAACCACTCCACTTGCGATATGCTGATTCTGATATGCTGATTACTTTTTAAAGTCCCCAGTGGAGGGACTTTAAACTCCCACACACACACACACATACCCCTCTCTGGTGGAGAGAAACACGAGGTCATGGTTGCGCTTGGTGGATGGAAAGTCAACAGAAATGACTTCCCTGTTTAACTAGTCATTGGGAAAGATGCCATGAATACAGAGGAATGTCAGTCATGTGCCCAAATGGCTTTATTGTGTCTTAAAAGGTGGGATGGTGTCAACATTATAGAATGCTCTGCCCATATAGCCCATTCCTTTTCTTTTCTACAGGTTTTAATTTTTCCTACAATTAATTAATTTAGGAAGTCTCTTTAATTAAGTTAGTGAATAAAGTCAATATCATCATTATTATTAAAGATGCCAAAAGATCTAGCACATTACCCAGAGCTAGGCAAAAGGAGCCTCATCATGCAGAAATAGGCACAGTAAATAATATATTTGTAATAAAAAATTGATCACAGCAAGAAGCAATTGATGGAAGAAGTTTCCTTCTGAAAATGTATCATTCAATAATTCATTCAATAATGAATATACCAGAAATAATATTTTTCCAACTAGTGAAGTAGCTGTTAGTTAAATCATTCACTTGAGTCTTTGACTAATTATTTCAAAATTTTAAAGTATTTCTTAGGTCATGGGCAAGAATAAGATAAAAGGACCGAAACAGGCCAATGTATTCCATATAGCCAATAAAAAAATACTAAAGGCTAAAAGTAAAGCAAAGCCAGTGGCAACCAACCTAAAAAAGGTATGTAGATGATTGTGATACTTTTAAAAAATCTGTGCCTGCACTGTACACGTTAAATTGTTGAGTTGAACAATCATAATACTTTGGTTATCTAGCTACAGAAGCTGTGCTCCCAGGTCTATGTTTATATAAAGTCACTTTCCTTGGTGGAATATTTTTTATAGGAATTCTGATAATTTAAGTCTCATGCATCAAGAACACTTAAGCTATGGGAATGTTCCAAAAGTGAATAAAATACATTTTCCATGCTTTCCTAGAATGGAGCTTTATGTGTGATTTATAAGGTTGCTATGATGTTGAACCCATATGGTAGGTGGGAAAAACACATTTTTGTGTTGGGATTTCTTAGCCAAACAAATAGAAATTGCATTGCCAACAATTGTATACAAAACTGTGCTACATTTATTTATACAATTATAAGGCTATCCAATTCAGTCAGTATTTGAAAAAAATTGCTGTGTTCTTGTCACATTGGTTAAAAAATATCGCAGAGTTGGAGAACATGCAGAGAACCTACAGAATAAGCAGCTTACACCAATAGGTGTAACACCATAGAAAATGAAGTATTATAGCTTGGCAATTTTAATTTAGAAAAAATGCAAAGGGAGACATGACAGAAATGCTTGACGAGATCTTGGATAAAAGGTGACACTTTGCACCTCCAAATACTAGAATAAGGGATTAACTCAAGGTTGTTCACTGGTGAGAATTACAAGGTAAGTAGAAATAAATCTGCTTGTGCATATTTAAATAATGAATTTATTACCAGAATATAGTTATGAATGCCAAGAGGCCAAACTCACAAAGACCGCTATTTATTATCTCTATTGCCAGATACGGTATATTTCTCAACACCAGTCCTAGGGAACCCAAGCAAGAATGTGCTAATAAACATGTTCTGCTTGCTTAGCAACCATCAGAATAGAATGTTCAATTAAATACTGTGAGCATTTTGAATGGATCTAACAGGATTTATTTTACAAGTAACATCAGTACAGGACAGGATTAAACAATCTTGGCAGCTAAATTTATCATGAAGGTGGAGCTGAAACACAGTGGCAGTTGGACATAAGCTTTAAAGGAGTTTAGGCTTTTTTGATAACTTCTTAATTGTAGTTTAGGACTTACCTGTTTCCAAATTCCAAATGGTAGAAAATCAGACTTTAGCAGTTGAGAGGACTAGAGAAAGTATGTTGGGAAGATACAGGTTATACATAGGTTTGGTATATGCAATTGGGAATTCCCATTATGAAAGATAATTGTGCTAAAATGTCTCGACATATAGACATTTTTTATTGAATGGACTAAGTCAGGATTATGACAAGCAAGTACAATCCTGTTTTTCCTCTTTTAAGCCTTTTGTAAACGATCAGTTTCCTCAAATTGCTTCTTTTTCATATTGGTAATTAATACAAGTTTAATTGGTCAATAAGACAGTCTTTCCTAAAAATCAATCAGTTCCTAAAACTGATCAGTTTCCCTGCAACTGATATTCAGAGTCCGAGCCACAGCTAATGTTTAAAAAAGCAATTATGGAGTCAGTTTATCAGAAGTCAAGATATACGAATGTAACGTGGGAATGCAGTAATTTGGATTTCAGTGGTCACAAACGTGTAGCAAAAGTATTATGGATTTGATGTATTAATTCCTTTGACTACTTAGGATCCTAGGTTTTAAAGATCAAATATTTAACTCTTTCTGCTAAAGAAAACTGAAAAACTTTATGAAATGCTTATCTTGATTGGCTTCCTTTTGTCCAAAACATTTACGATTTATTGTAAGTTAATAAAAATTAAACAGATTCATTAGAGTTGTTGTAGTTTTGTGCTTTAGTTTTGCCTTGATGTAAAAAAGACTAAATTGTTTCTTTTTTCTCAAAAGATAAATATTGTGAATGATGAAAAAGTTCACAAGATAGATAAGGTATTTACAGAAATACAGAAAAATGTTAAACAATTGTCCAAAACTGTTCCATCAGATTCTTCAAAGAAACTTCAGGTAAGAGTTCGTTCATATGGAAACAAATTCTGATCCTTGTATCTTTTTTGGGGAATGATTTAACCAAAGATTGGTTGTTTAAACACCTTACTGATCCTTTCTGATAAAAATAGTCAACACAGCAAAAGTGGCAGAGAGGAGTGATGTTTTTTGCTTTCATTTTTACCCAAGAGTAAGATGTTTTTGCAAACAAAGGCAAATACATTCTCTTACCTTTTGGAGAGATTCTGTGAAACTTCACTCTTCCTGACCCTATGTCTGAGAGTCAAGTGGATAGGGAGCACTTTGCACAGTAGTTTTTGAGCTTTCTAATTTCCAGAAGATGGAAATCTGACCAATCCTATTTGAGGTCATGATATATTGCAGAGGGTCAGGGCATCTTGTCGCTATGGTTTTGTCCCTATCCTTGCTAAAATGTGTATATTGCACCTCAGAACAAGTTATCTCAATTATTACTTAGGCAGGAGGAGAAAAGCATCCTGAAATATTCTCTAACCCTGAGGTTGATAAACAGATTTCCCAACTGCAAAGATCATGTGGTGCTTTTCTTATGGTATTCACACAGTCTATTTTGGTGTAGCAATATCTGAAACGTGTTTCTGCAAACTGTGATGTCTCCCCATCCAACCCAATGAAGACAGACTAGAGGACATTAAAAAAAATGACAGCGTGCATTTCTGCAAGTCTGAGCAGAAGCAGCATTGGTTACTTCTTCTGAAATATCTTAAGTAAATGTTTTGACAACTGTATCCCTAAGAAAAGCCCATATTAGCTGATGAAATCTTTAGCACTCAGAACATTTCAAGCTGTATGTGTTTCCCTTCTTCAGATTCCAATGTCTCAGGAAGACAAACCGGCTAATGTGGATGCTGCTGCTAACTTACTTTCTCAGTTGTAGCACAAAACAATATACTGATGTGAAAATTACATCTTTTGGTATGTCACAAGCAATCTTTGTATAGTTTTTATTTTTAAAAAATCTTGTTAATATACAAGTATTGGTGTTCTTTAATATGAACTACAAATAGTGCTTTCCTTAATCTAGGAATGTGAGAAATAAAGGAAAAAAGACATTTAAAGTGCTAATAAAGAAGGCACTCCACAGAATGTTTTTGGGATTCACCCCAGGGAATTGGGAGAGAACATAACCTAAGAAACTGTCCTTTACTTTACAAATGGCAGTGGAAGTTTGAAACATATGGCCAAAATTTCAGAATGATTATAGGGAGTTCCTAAGACACCAGATTTGCTAGCTTTAATAGAAGCAGAGAAGTAGAATTATGAATTCTGCTTCCTAAAAAAAAAAATTAAAAAAATGTAAGTAACTGCACTGAGATACTCTTAACAGTTCTTTGAGTATCAACTCTGCATTTCATTACATTTAGAAACTATTTTTTAAAAAATGTATGCCCAGCATTGGTCAATCATGGAGTTTTGCATTCATTATTTTAAATACTTGAATTATAAAATTGCATCTACTGTATTACATAGTTAGAGGTAGATAAGGAAATCTGGTTGCATCAAATCTAGTAGTTCAAGATCTGAACATCGAAGAGATCACAGACTCCTTCATTATCATCCAGGTTGAAGCTGTAGTCATCTCCAGGTGTTGGAGATAGTCGTAGCAGAGGAAAAACTGTAAGACAATATCTTAAGTTATGCTTGGTTAATATTCAAGCACAGTAAGCATTAATTATATTGATTCACTGTGTGAATGCAAGTGGATTATTGCCATTCTCCTTTCTGGTCTCAGCACCACTAATACTACATAGTTCCTTATCTAGTTCCAGGTTTTAAAATACGAATCTTACTCCTATTCTAGAATTTGGAGGATCTTATGCCACTAGCTCCTCAAATATTTATGTTGTTCATATGCCTTTCTATCAGGCTAATGTATTTAGAAACAGAATTCACAGTCTTGACAGACTTAATAAACCTTAACACAAAATTCAGAGAATTTGCCTTATTTATAAATGGTGAGAAATGATTCAGAAACCAAACAAGTTAAATACAACATTCTGTATGCAGAATGCAGATGTAATGATTGATAAACAACAATGGGAATGTCAGTGATAGAAAAACATTAAATTCATATGTAATATTAAAGAAAACTAGTGTAAGATGTTTATCACTGGTATATTATTCTACTATCAAATGCTTTTTTCCCTTGCTTCCTTTTTGTATATCTTTTCCTTTTCTTAAAAATAATAAAGATATTTTTTATAGTTCACAAATTTTCTGTGATGAATAAATACTGCTATTGAGTTATTTCAGTTCTAGTTTTATTAATTTTAAATTCAGACAAAACAAATGATTTTTCAAAGCAAGTAAGTACTTCACAATGCAGTTTAGTACTACCAAGTATTTAATGAAATAGATATGCTAAATTATTAAGCCAATATTATCTATAGGCAGAATTTAAGTAACAAATAAAAAGTAAAGGGTGAGGCTGAAGTTTGGCCAGGCCTCCAAAGGCTTATTTCTCTGCGATTGGGATTTTTAGATACTTCATAGTAACTTCCAACCAAGTTTCATTGTGTGCAAGGCACATAACACCCGTAGGTAATACAAAGCATTAAGGAATTCATGGCAATTTTTTCATGTTTTTTTTCCTGTATCATTTTAAAATGTGATTTTTATGCATAATATTTGAAGTAATAGTAAGAATGGGATTTGGATATCTTTATAGTAAAAATGGTTTTCCTTTGTCTTTTTTTTTTGTTCCAGATACAGAATGGAAGGCATAGCTTTCAACACTGGAAATCTATTTACCTAAGTGGATACAATAATGTTGGAAGGAATACCTGGATTTTATATAATGAATTGGGAAACTAATCTTCCCCAAAGTGGCAGTAGTCAAGCAATTGAGGAAATATTCCAAGATGTCTTTAAAACAAAGAAAATTTTCAACCTTTTAGTCTATGCATAGCTAGGAGCCAAATTATTTATCAACAGAGAGCTGGATTTGAGACACTGGTCTACACTTACTAGCTGAAATTATAATTTAAAGTGAAATTGTGATTTAAAAACTTAAATCTCTACTGTCTAATGTTATTGGTAAAGTTTCTCTCAGGACATTAAAAATGTAAGATAAAAGGATTTTGCACATTATTATATTTATTTGCTGTAGACAGAATAAACCTATGACTAATTCAAAATTTTATATAATGGGTGGAAAAATAATAGGAAAAGAAACAAAAATGTGTATTTTAACACTGAACTGAATTACCCTGTATGAAGGAATGCCAGAGGTTAGTAAATACCTTACTTTAGTTTGCCCCAAAATATGGAATTACTGTTTAAATTTAGGCAACATAAAAATTTTGGCTTAGATTTTGATTAACTATGTTAAAGTAATAGCTGTTTTCATTTTCACTCTCCTCCAAAATAAGAGTTTCGTATTTAAAAAAATAAAAAACATTCACTGGTATTCTTTTGCTTATGTTACTTTAGTCATACATACTCAACATGCAAGTGGTACTCCAGTTCAATGCAATGGATGTCCTGTCAAAGTGATAAATGGTTTTCTGTCATAAGATGTGCTGGCTACAGCCTGGCTGGCTTAAAAAAAAAAGGGCTAATTCATGAAAGTCATGAAGATCAAAGGCTATTAGCTTTGATGGAAGTCTGATTGCTTCTGAAAGCCTTCTGCTGGGCTTCCATTTACCATTAATTGGCCACTGTGAGAAAAAACTGCTGGATCTAGATGAGACCAGGGGTTTGCTCCAACAGGAACCTGCTGAGGTTGTTTCAAAAGAGATAACAAGTCTTCATGGATTCCTGTTGGTTTTAGGCAGAATGGCTGCTAATGACCTTCGGCGTAGTGCTTCTGTAGTGTTTCTATATTTACCGCTAAGAAGTGTTCTACAAATTTGCATTCTGTTAATGGCTACCACAGGTTGGTTGGACTATAGGTGCTTCCTAGCAAATGTCACCATTGCAATGTTTTTAATGGAAGTAGTAAATATAGATGCCACTAGTTAGGTGGAAAATTCAGTGCCCAAATCTTTTACACCGTAAGAATGAAATTGATTGTTACTGGTGCACATCCATCCAAAAATGGAATCATGAACTAATACTTGTGCAAACTAGTGTAATTTTAAATCAGATTTTATAATATAAGAAACTTACCATCAGAGGACATCAGTTCATCAATGATATCACTGTTAATTACACCTGTTGACAAAGGAAAATTCACAACTAGGCATATGCAGAAATGGCAAACCAAAACAAAATCAGAACATCTCATTTAACCTCCCCTAATTTCTACTGTAATGCCAAAAAAGTGAAAACATGAAATAGTATGTTGAGCCTGACAAATCTAACACACATATTTTATTAAACAAACTCATTAACCTTCAAACTCCCACAAAGCATTTTTCACTTTCAAAAAGATAACCTGCCTCAACATGTGTGATATTACGAATTTAGCCAATGAATAAAAGTTACAAGATTATGATCTATTTTTAGTAAAATACAGTACCCAGGAAATCTAGCTTCAATTAATTTCTTCAAAGCTTTATTTTGGATTTAAATACTTTATGTAAGCTACTCTTGGTGAAATGAACACAAAGCTGTCCCACACCCAATACTGTGATCTCAAGTTACAAGGATCAGGATAAAAAAAACACTAACCACATGGCAATTATAAAGAGCAAAACTAAGGCCTTTGCCACCAGCTAGAAGGATCAACTAGGAGACAATAAAAAACTGCTTTAAAACATTTTCATAATGTGCACAGAGTTTGAGAAGTACTTTATCAAAAATGGGGATATTAGCAATCCTTATAACCTAATATTTTCAAAAATTGTGGGCAAAACAAATATGCAAGTGGTATAGTTTTTAATATTGATTCTAACAAATGAGTATTAAGATTATTTAGAATACTGTATTCTCTTCATGCTATATCCGTCTAGATACAGGGCTAACCTAAACTACGGAGGTCTCATTCTTAGCCACAATCTTCCTTTTCTCTGTACTTCCCTTTCCAAAGATTTATCTATAAAGCGTAAGTAAAGATTTGGAGAGAAGCAGAAAGCAGGATGTTGTTGAAACAGATAGAAGTTCTTCATTTTATTGCTCCCAGGATGAGGGCAAGCATTTGTGTCATCTATCTGGACCACTACAATAGCTGTTAGCCAATCTGAGTATCTCTGCGGTGTCATAAAGGAAAAGCTGGTCAAGCAGATATTGGCAGTAAGAATTATCCCTCAGATGTAATATATTGCACTATAGATGCAAGGAATTGGCTATATTATCCTACATCTAGTCAGACATGGACTTTTGACTCAGTACCATATGCAGTAATTATAAAATAGGTACAGATGAAAAGGCTTGACCCCAGAAGTAAAATCAATTATAAGACTTCTAATTTTTTTAAAATAAAGCAGCTAAGCATTTTTACTAAAGAAGAAAAGTGTAATTCAAGTTTTGGATTTCTGGATATTGCCAATTAACATTAAATGGTTAGATTTAGTTTGATTTATGGTTAAGGCACCAGACTAGAAACCAGGAGACAGAGTTCTAGTCCAACTTTAGACTTGAAAGCTCGCCTAGTGATTTTGGGTTAGTCACTCTCCTTCAGCCCAACCTATTTCACAGGGCTGTTGTTGGGGAAAATAGGAGGAAGGAGTATTAGGTATGCTTGCCACCTTGAGTTATTTATAAATATAATAAAGGCAGGAGTAAAAATCAAATAAATAAAGGTAATATGATCTTTACCTCCAGGTTCATCCATCTTTGTTATGTCAAATGTGTTCGACTTTAGAATACTATTGACATCCAGTGGAAGGAAGGAAGAAGGGAGGGTTGTTGAGCTAGGCGTGGTTTCGGTTACAAGGGTATCATACAATTCAGAATCTGGAATACTAGCACACAGTGTTTCAGGAGCTGGGCTTCCTTGTAAATTGATATCTAGAGTAGTGGAAATTTTTCAAGTTAAAATCCAACATGGTAGTTCAGTGCAATAAACAAATATTGATAAAGAGCACAGGTTGACAACCTCTATTTTTTTAATGAAATACTGCAAGATTTCAGCATGCTCTTATATTATTTCAGTCAAAACCCAAAATCTCACCTAATTTGGCATTTTTGCAAGATTTGGAGTGTTGTTTAAATTTTCATTTTTGTGTGTGTGTGATCTGTGCCACCACTTAATTACCAGTATCAGCATAAGAAGACACACAATAAAAGAGACAAAAAACATTTTTTCACAGTACATAAATAAGTAACTAGCTAGCTAATTGCACTACCTAGTAGTTCCAAAAAGTTTATTTATTTCCCACCTTTATTGTTTTATAAATAATTCAAGGCAGAGACCATACTCAGTATCACAACCTTTTTATTTATACAGACCCCTTTTGTCGTTTTCTTGATGATGGACAACGATCAAATTATGTTTCCAGTTAGCTATTTTTCACATTTTGTTCAGAACAAGTTGGAATTTTAAAACAAATTTGAAAGGCTGGTTTAAGGTCACCAATTCTAAAACTGGAAACTATAGTATCTCAGCTTGGGTAGAATGCAAAGCCATGGGTAATTAGGAATAGTCTCCTTTCATTTCAGTGCAGATCAAATAGAATACCATGCTTAAACTTCCTCGTATATGAAGATATTCTCACACTCACACATGATTAGAGAATTTTGATTTGAGGTGACTCAATACTGTTTTTATAATGAGAACACCATTGAGACCTAAGTGCACAACCTGGAAGTTGTGTACTTGGGTCTCAATAGTTTTCTCATTATAAAACAGTGTAGATCAGGGGTCTCCAACCCTGGACCACAGACTGGTACCGGTCCACGGCCTGTTAGGAATTGGTCCGCACAGCTGGAGGCGAGCAAAATTGCACATGTGCAGGATCTAGGTTGCACACTCCTCCCTCTCCCCCCTCTGATCCATGGAAAAATTATCTTCCAGGGAACCAGTCCCAGATGCCAAAAAGATTGGGGACTGCTGGTGTAGATGATTTGACAGTTAAACTCCCAGTGGTTCAGATCTGATATTCTGGAGTATGTAGGGAAATGAATGTAAAGTTACAAAGCAGCTGTATCTTGCACAGAATCCTGGGGAAAACCCCTTTTAAAGAGCTAAATACAGAGGCTATACTTGGGCAGCTGCAAGCTGAAGCAGCTTCTTGGAACTGAATCCAAAGTGCTGGCCAGTTTTAATAGACAGCACTTTTGAATATTGCTACTACAGTTGTGTCAACCGCACTGAAGAATTTCCGGGTTGAAAGGATTAGCCGATGACATCATCATTGCCTGGGGGATGTCCTGTTGGGGGTCCCTGTTAAGCTGCCCATCAAAGTAGTACCTATTATCTACTCACAGTCACCTGCTTTTGAACTGCTGGGTCAGCAGGAGCTGGAATGAGTGATGGGAGCTCACCCTGTCCCACGGCAGTAACTAGGTCTTGAACACAAGCCTGCCAATCGTCAGCCCAGCATCCTAACCACGTAAGCCACCACGCTCCACTAGCACTGGGAATTAAAATATCTTTTCTAATAGTACTAGCTTAGTTTAGAATTCTCTCCTTAGCAAATATATTAAATAAATATATTAAGATGATCATCCTAATCGTTTACTTAGATAGGACACAAAATAAATAAATAACCTAGTAAGGTAGTCTAAAAAATTATACAGGATACAACCACATCTGGGCAAATTTCTGAGAGAGAAAAGAGTTTCTATACCCACCTGTTGGCATATCTGTCACTGGGGTCTGTGGAAGGGATTGCTCTTGTAATCTCTGGGGATCTGCATTTGGTTTAGGGGAAGTCAGTGGAACTGCAGATTGAAGGAGATCATCTGGTGGAGGTACTGGGAAAACAACCGGCTTGGAAGAACTGGACTCTTTGTTAATGAGCAATACATGGATAGGTCCCAGACTGCTCTTTAGATTGATCTGGTATTTCTTTTGTCCCTTTAGAGAGAGTGGTAAGATAAAATGAAAGTCTTAACATGCTTTATATGAAAACAGACGTACTAATCAATAGTCAATTAAAACTGATTCCATTCAAAATTATAAATGAAAGTTTTGAACTGCAATAGTAAGGGATCAGTTGGCTAACATACTTAACATCTCGTTTCTGTTCAACATGGAATTGGCATTTTTTTAATAAAATTATCTTTACGTAACATTTACTTATTTAGCAGTTTAATGGAGTAAAATATTGCAGACAAGTAAAATGCACAACCACAAAGCAAAATTCTTCAATAATAAAGGTATTTTATATTTCCATATCTAATATTTTCATAGGAAGGCAAAGAGAGAACGCTCTGGCAGTGAATACAGATATGGAATTTATTCTGAATAAGGAATTGGAGCAGGATTCCAGAAAAATTATTGATTTTAAAAATTCATCCTAAGGCAATTATCTTAGACCAACTGAAAAACACAAGTTCAGCTGACATGCAACTGAGAATTCA